TTTAAATCCAACATTAAGTACCCGTGAGGGCGGCTCGTGACATCTTCATAACTCCTCATAAATTCTTGTACTTTTCCGGGATTTATTTGCCTTGCAAGCATATAAATTTGCTGTTTATCTCTTGGTGACTTGAACAGCACGATATAATGCGCGTTTAGGCTGATATTTCTCATTTCTTTACCTTGATGGAATATATTTTGAACAATATAAATGATAGACAAATTTCGATGATGACTTCCTTTCGTAAAAAGATCAGCAATACGTTTATCCTTGCTAGATTGTGCCATGGGATCATCCAATACGATCAAATTCCGTTGCGATACATCCAAGTAATCTGCGTTGTCGATATCGTCGGGAATGCCTTTATTGAACTCGATTCCAGGAATCGTCCGCATCATATCAAAATAGGAGGGTTGCCATTGACCGTAACACCAAATGATACGTTGAGGAGCAGGACGTATGGTCTTCTGAGCGTTCTCCAAGAGAGATTTTACCCATACGGTTTTGCCGCTTTGTGTACACCCAGCTACAATGCAAGTAAATGGGTGTTCCAAAACTGTAACTCCATTCACCGTAAGAGTTTGTTGCCCAAGATTACGAGTTCCATATGCATGAACAACCTTCTTGTGGCGAAGGAGATTACTCGCATTTGCAAACGGTTTACCACAGATGTCGCATTCATAAGACATGTTTACTTCGCAAGAGTCAGAGTGAAATGATTTAAAGCGAGGGTGAAGAGGTATATTTATCCCGTTTGCTATAGTCATTAAGACTACAGTAAAGACTATGAAAGACTATAGTCTTGATTATGAAGACTATAGTCATGACTATAAAGACTATAGTCCTGACTATGAAGACTATAGTAAAGACTATCAAAGATTATATAGTCCTGACTATGAAGACTACATTAAAGACTATGAAAGACTATAGTCCTGGCTATCAAGACTATAGTAAAGACTATATAAAGACTATAGTAAAGACTATGAAAGACCATAGTCCTGACTATGAAAGACTATAGTCCTGACTATGAAGACTACATTAAAGACTATGAAAGACTATAGTCCTGACTATAGTAAAGACTAAAGACTGTAGTAAAGACTATGAAAGACTTTCATAGTCATGACTATGAAGACTATAGTCATGACTATGAAAGACTATAGTCATGAATATGAAATACTATAGTAAAGACTATAAAGACTATAGTAAAGCCTATAAAGACTATAGTAAAGCCTATAAAGACTATAGTACTGACTATGAACGATTATAATCCTGACTATGAAGACTACATTAAAGACTATGAAAGACTATAGTAAAGCCTATAAAGACTATAGTAAAGACTATAAAGACTATAGTAAAGACTATGAAAGACTATAGTCCTGACTACGAAGACTATAGTAAAAAAAACCCGATTAAGACTATAGTCTGGACCCAGTCTGTAGAGGGCGAGTCGACCCTTATATATATGCGTCATTCTCAACTAAATCTTCATTCCGTTGCTGACCGCCGAACATAGATGACTAGCAGTTATATCAAACACAGACCGTTTGTGGAGCTCTTGTGTACTTCTCATCCAATTCAACAGCAAGCTCTGTTGAATTCTGCATCATGAACAGATTCGCTTTCTATGTAATTGCTTGGAAAACTTTACGTATCCTAAAGGAACATTGAACAAACTTGGACCATTTAAAGACGATCTCGCTGATTTAGCAGACAGAAGTAAGAGTTTTATAAAGAAAAGGAAAATTCTTGTTCAGCGCGGGAGTAGTTTTCTAGGATTGATACTTGCCAGGATTGGTACTTAGAGGGCCTTGCAGAATTAGTATAAAGTAACCATCATTAATTTACATTGTCATTCCAACCACGGACAGCAAGGAAAGATCATCTCCGAGACATTGGGGTGTTGAAGATATACTTGGACACTTCAACGATAATGTTGGTAAACACATTGCGGAAGAACTTCTTCACTCCATTCTCACATCCACGGATATTCTCACATGGAATCTTCAAGGGGAAATTGTATACAAAGGACAGAATATACGTGGAACAAATATTGATCTTTTGCAATATACTGTTTTACCATATAATACTGAAATTCCGGAACCAGCTTGAATGAATATATTTCTCAAAGGTCTTGCAAAATTGGATATTGATAAAAGCCTAATCGTAAATGGGCGTGTCCTTACAATGCTAGCCCACAAGTGGTCCTACCAGGATATACTGTCTGACAAATCCGAGGATGAGTCTGAAGACATGGACACAGTTTGTAACGGTTGTAACAAAGATTTAGACATCTCCCATTTGGCCACATGTCCTATATGCACATGGATAGAATTTTATCCAAATTGTAAGAGGTGTCACTGTACGATCTGTGATTTTCGACTGTCCGAAGGAAATTTCACGCATGTAATCGCCTGTTGCCAACATTGTCATTGTGATGAAATTATGGATGTTAGTACGGATAAAAGACTTTTTTACCTTAAAATAAGCGAACAAAGTGATATTTGATCAGTTTACTTGAACTGAACACATCAACACGGTGAGAGGTACGCTTGTTGTAGACACAAAACTATTGAAAGACAACAGGTGGGAAATTTGTCTGAGCATGCGCGAGTGAAATGAACCACGCAATGGCGTGGAATACACGCAACGCGTGTTTACAAAAAGGCACAATCGTGTAAATATTGCAAAATGTTTGTACAAAATAAATGACTGTTTTATGTTGAAAGAGTAGACATGATCTAAATTAATCATACAGAATTTTTTAGTGACGTTCTATTTCAATACCCTGCCATTGTCTCTGGTGGGCTGTCCGTGTGCATTCGATCTGAAACAGTTGCTACTTTGCTGTCGAAGAATTTCGAATGTTTACATGAAAATAGAGGCATGTCATGCATTTTACAACCTCTTAAACTGTATGAGCCCCTATTTTTACGCTTATACCTAAGATATCAAATAAAAGTACATGAAACAGAGAACATTTGTAGAAAGTTTTATCGTGAGGCCACGGCCAGTTTTTAAAATATCTTTATTTCTGTTCCGGTCATCACCAAAATTACACAAAAGCCGGGCTTGAATATACAACAAATTTTTAATCGCATCAAGCACAAAAATACTTAACGTGTAACCAAAATATGCTCATGAAATCGAAATTAATAGCTAAATTTTCAAACTAGACCCTTCTCGAAGCGGTTTTCATGAAGGAAGTTCACATTTCGGCCTTTGATTCTTGGCAAAAATTTGACCACAACACATGCGAAGCAACTGGGTCTCAAAGACTGAACTAAAACATTGTGAGCCCCTATTTTCCTGACGATATGTTTGATACCTACAAACGCCGAAAAGTTTTTTCTTTTCATTTAGCTATATTTGAAATTGAGGCCACGGGCTATTTTTGAGAAACTACAGTTCAAAATCAAGCTATTTTTACATATTTTCAAAATTTGTCAAATTTCGCGAGCTTGTATTTTGAACTTAGACAGCTGAAGTTACATTATGAAACATAGGATGGAAAATTTGAGGCATATAAAGTTAATTTCAACTTACATTTCATTCTCAAATCACGTCTTTCTTCGTTTATTACGGTTTTAAACAAGCCATAGATCGACGTATACGGTATTTACTCCTATGTTCACGTCGCCATATTAACTTCTTCCAATCATTCGATTACTAAACAATCATCCCAAAACAAAGAATTCATGATCGACTTTTAAAAGAATAACCAATAATTTGTATATCGTTGAATGGAAAGCAAAAAATCGTCAGCTAAAACAGCTTCTTGCTAACTTTCTGCTTTGTTTTGAATGTAAATGCATGGGCTTTGTTTCTGCCCGCAATTTTTTGGTCAGCGACGACAAATTTCCCACCTGTTTTGAAAGACCATTTCTTGAGACAGCAGCGTGGTGGGAATATCGCTGGGTTTTATGGTGCACGTATGCAAAGGGATATGGGATCGGAAGCATTTTCAAGAGCCTTGCAAGATATGCTATCCCTCTATTCAAACAAGGAGGTAAAGTTGTTGGCAAAAGAGCAAAAGAGCATTACAAGCAGCCAAAGAAGTTGGTCAAGATGTACTTCAAGGAAAAAATGCAAGAGAATTTGTAAAGGCTCACAGAGGGAAAGTTGTTAAAGACTTTGTTGAGCAAGGAGCAAGGACTCTTCTGCGTCAAACGGGACATGGAAGCAAAAGAAGGCGAAGTCAACGCAGCAATCTATCATCAGTCAAGAAGCAAAAACTGGAAGAAGATCCAAGACGTCCCAAATGGATTAGGAAAGATAAAAGCGACTGCGATGATGAAAGCAGCCACGACGATGAATCTGAAAGCGAAACATCTCAAACAAGTGACGATTAGAAGCATAAAAATAACAAAACACCTACACGTTACGCTCTTAGAAGTAGACCGTACTAAATTTTGTAAAACGTTTTGAAGAAATAAATGTATTTTAAAACTGAAGTTTTGTTTAAGCTTTTGCCTGCAAAGCCCGCTCATCTGCCCGCGCAACCCGCCCGCCTGATAAGTGTACAAATATGTTGTACGTTAATATATGCATGCACCCAAGCGTCGCTAATGACTTAGCAACACATAACAACGTATATAACGACTACATGTTTTTATCGCAAAATATATTACAACTGTTCTAAAAGGTTTTTCTCCACAGAATCAAAATGTACCATTTTTCGTAGTCGAAGAGGTAGTAACTTTACCGTGTAGACATACTTTACTGTTTACTGCCTGCTCTTGTTCTGTGGCGTAATTACACTAGGGTTAAAGGCTGTCGAAGGAGTCACCTTGCCCGGGTTAATTGGTCGCGCTACCTGTCACAGTTGGCCCAAGGTTAGGGTTAGGGCCAGCAAAGTGGCATCATAGTTTTGCAAGCTCATTATAAATTCCGCCAGATTGTTAGCTGAACAAAGTGACGTCATAGATTTTGCAAGGAAATTATAAATTCCGCCAGAGTGTTAGCCGAACAAAGTGACGTCATAGACTTTGCATACTAATTAATCCCGACACCTAAGTTTGCATACTAATTACTTCCGCCACCAGATGAGGGTCTTTTACTACTGATGCCAACCTCACAGTGGCAGAAGTATAGTGAGTTTATGTATTTTACAAAGTCATGAGATTTTGTTAAAAACCGTTAGATTTCCCGAAATTTCCAAGATTTTCTTATTATTATGGTTTAAATTTATTAAAAAGTCTCACGACAAAACGTGAGTGTTGGCAGGTCTGTGAAAATATGCTTCAACGAATGTTCTACGTTTCAAAGCTTGATCAGATTTTGGGTCATGTTGTCAGGAGTCATTGGCGAACCATCAGTTCCACTGGAAAAAAGTTTGAAAATCCATAGAATGGAAATTGTATGGACGTTTATTGGAAATAGAACGGATTTTTGATTATCCATAATAACTGTATATTTCCATACTATGGTTATAGTATCGAAATAGTATGGATATACTATGGATTTAGTGTGCAATTGCAAATCTCATAGTATGGATTTCACATTTTTTTCAGTGATTCGAAGCAGTGTAACATTTTTCTGGAGGATGTATAGCCTCTGGAAGACTACTACATATTAAGTGCAATCTTCTATAACCTTGGTTTGCACAGTGGTCATGTTAGGAAAACGCTAACAAAAGAATATCATTAGTAGCTATTGAATTTGGAGTCTATTTTCTCCAACATGGCCGCCGCATCTTTGTCTTATAAATCTCATTACAGGCATTGGTTGCAAACCACCAATAAGTAGTTTTCGTGACTATAAAGGCCCATTTCTACTCAGGAAAATTTTCCTCAGAAAGAAAATTTTGTAAAATGTGATTGGCCGACACAAATATTCCGTCGGATTAACAATTGATATTTTCGGAAAATTTCTGTCCGTGGAAATTTTTCTTAAGTACGTGGGAATGGGCCTTAACAAAATATCAACTATTATAATTATAGACATGAATTCAACAATCAACGCGACTGATCATGGTGATTTTCGACCAGATGACGCTACATGGATTTTGACGAGCGCCTTCATTATTTTCACAATGCAATCTGGTTTTGGCCTGCTCGAGGCAGGAATTGTCTCAAGAAAGAACGAAACAAATATCATGGTAAAAAACGCTATTGATATTATTTACGGAGGCCTTGCTTACTGGATATTTGGTTTTGCAATAAGTTTTGGGAACAGCGACCTAAACAACAGATTTACGGGCTGGGGAAACTTTTTTGTCGATTCTGAGGATGACGATTTTGGTATATTTGCCAAGTACTTTTTCCAATTATCCTTCGCTACGACCGCAACGACAATTGTTTCCGGCGCAATGGCCGAAAGGGTTAATATCAACGCTTACATAGCTTTCTCTTTTGTAAACACCCTATCTTACGCATTCCCTGCACATTGGATGTGGGATGATAGAGGATTTCTAAAAGAGATGGGAGCAGTTGATGTGGCTGGGTGTGGTCCTGTCCATCTTGTTGGTGGTGTCGCCGCTATAGTCGCAGCAATCATGCTAAAACCACGGAAAAATAAATTTGATGAGCATGGCAAACCACGTGAGATGGCAATGGCGTCTCCAACAAATGTTCTGCTAGGGACGTTTATGCTGTGGTGGGGATGGTTAGGGTTCAACTGTGGTTCAACATTTGGAATTTCAGGGATAAAGTGGAAACTTGCTTCCAGGTATATCGTACTGTGATTATATTTTTCGACATCAATATCAAACGCATTAATGGTCATTTTGAAACCTCTGTTTATCATAAACCTACATTCACAGGGGTTTCACTAATTTTAATAGTTATATGTTCATCTCCAATAGAAGCACATAGTTAATTTAATGTCTTGATTACTAACTATAGCAATTTTTATACGCAGCTTGAGACATTTAGAAAAAATTTCAACCAATCAAAATGGTTATCATATACATCTCTTTGATCAGTGTGTCCGATTTTTTGTTGTTAACATCATTCAACCTAAAGAATTTAATTCAGTCTGCATCAAGGAAAGCGATTTCCTTCAATCTGTCTTCCATGTATGCATGCATTCTGGAACACATTCTCTTCAAGTTCGTACCCAAATTCAACGCCTCGATCTGTTATGTAGCCGTATAAATATCAGATTTGTATTTCGACATAATAATATTCTCTAATATTCTCATGTTTTCACATTTAAGCACAAAATTTCCATGGTTTGAGATCGTGTGTATGTTGTTTATTTTTTTTAGTGTCGAAACCTTCCTTAAATAAGCAATGTAGGCTAAACGGTCCGTCGTTTACACGCACGAGTCTCAGAACACCTTGATACTGTCTTAACTTGTAACACGAGTAGCAGTCTCCAACTTACTAGCATATTTTTATATCTAAACAATTCCGGCCACACAGCTTCTTTTGATGTTTTTAAAATTCTTTCATTTTCCTCTTCCCCAGATTAACATCCCATCCGTGAAAGTATTTTTTGATTTCTAAGTATAAACCTTCCTTAAATAAGCAAGGCAGCTCCATTCCTATTTTCTACCTCTCTGATGACTTTCGCCACAACCAGTTCCTCCCTACTCTTCTCCTCTCCTTATTTCTCTCATAATTTGCAATTCAATATATTGTAAATAGTACTGAATATATTCATAAACCTTTGTAATTTTCATGTTATATCTGTAACTCTGGAGATGCGGTTACAATTCTACAGCTTTTTTTTTAAATTAAGGTTCGCAAATCACGCCTATACTTCTTTGGGCAGCCTTAATTAACTGATTATCAACCTCGTTATGTTTTAAGGTCTGCCGTAGTCACAATAAATGGTTCAGTTGGTGGAGGTATTTTTGGTATGGCCTACAGGTATATGTCTACATTGTCTTGCTTTTTCTTGCTTTTTCCATACACGCGTTTAGAAAAACAGGGCCAGGCGCAGGGGGAGAGCGGGAAAGTGGCAATTTGCAACACGCCTCCCCTGCAATTAACAATTTTGTGAATACAAAATAATGTCAAATGTTTTCTGCCCTTGCTCTCAAAAATCTCTGGGATACCCCGAAAAAATTACATCAGGAAGCAGCTATGTACAATATAAATCAATCTACTAGGAAAGAAAATGTTTGTAAATAAAGGCTGTTATGAAGCTCTAAGTATCCGAATTGTATTTATCTCTTTGACGTCCATTTTCCACTAGGCAAATTTATTCGCGCGAAGTGATTGTTTTCTTTGTCAGAATCGCTCATCACGTGAGCACAGGCGATACCGACAAAGGAAAACGTCGCATCACACGAACAAATTCGTCAAGTGGAAAATCGGCTGAACAGTATAATTAACTGGACTCCAAGCAATTTTACATTGGCAACAATATTGCCAAAAATTGGCCACGACAACCACGACCACATGTATAGAAACCGAGCTTAATTTATCAAAAACAATCTATCAAAACAGTGTAATTCATTAATGGCTTCTAGACGCCTTTTTCCCGATTGATAAAGATATCGATATTGCACGAGTATATAAGCTATTAACAGATGCAGCTGCATGGGTAGATTATTTACATGCAAATATTTTATTTCAGTTACATTTTTCATAAGAAGAAATTGTTAATCAAAATTTTCGTAACTAGTATACTGGGAGGACTTGTTGGAGTGACAGGTGAGTTGATTTATAAAGATGAACCGGTCATGGAGGACGTTAGGGGCTTCGCTATCTGGGGGAAAGCGCCATCAGCTCTTCGTATATAACCCATCCTTGATAAGTAATTTAGTTCTCTGATTAGTTGATTGCGATAGGTAATTCTACATGCATGGAAAGTGCTCCCTCGAGCTCGACGGGGAAATGATTGGATATGTACGTATTAGGTTATTTCGTGTTGTTCAAATGGCTAATAACGCAATGAACAACGGAGTTTTGCAGGAAAATATCAGGATTTGGGGCATCTACACTCGATGTAACTAATTGGAGAAGAGTTTTGTTGATTGAAATCCCGAGTGTGAATTTTGTACATTTATTAGACCTAATCAGGATCAGTTGCCTGCGAAAAATGCCACTATATAGACCCTAGGAATTGAACCTGCGCGGTCCTGCGATTCCAGTGCGCGCAGGGAATTCAAATTGTATGAATTCATTTACGACGTGTCTAAGGATTAGCAGACGCCCTGGAAACTAAATCCAGCACGCAGGTCTTAAAATAATTGAGGAGAAAGTGCTACGTTAAGAAAATGACTTTCGCGTCTTCTCGGATAAGGACGTTAAAATTGTAGGTACCTCGGATCCCCTATCAATTGGGAACAGCTTGTTGGGGAATTCGCTCACCAATGAGTAAGAAACTGAATAAACTCAATACGACTAGTCGATATGATTGTCATTCTAACGTATGAAAACACCTGCTGACGCCAGTATTCCTGCATTCATCAGTTAATGGCGAGATTTGAATGTGACATCTTTACACGCATTTACTTTAGCACATACGGCGTCAGGATAAGAGTCGAATATGACTGTAGTCTATCGTGTAGATGGATCGTAACGCAAATCGAGATCGCGCAATAATTATATGGCTCGTGCGCCCAAGTGTATTCTGGGGAAACGCAAGCAGTGTCAAGAGTGATTTGCTGACATACGTGTCTAGCCAATCAAAAGGCAAATAGTAACTACCACCTACTGATATAATATTGTATTATTTTAATCAACTAGCAATTTGTGCTGTTTGTCGTCCATTGGAAGCTTTGTTCATTGGATTCATTGGCGCTGCTGTAGCTATTGGAGGTATGGTCATGGAAGACAGGCTGTGTATAGACGACCCCGTTGGAGCATTCCCAACACATGCACTCGCCTCAGTATGGGGACTTATTGCCACTGGACTCTTCTGCGAAAAAACACCACAATTTTCCGAACATGCAGGTTTATTCAAAGGTGGAACCTGGAAATTTTTGGGCATCCAAGTTCTGTCAATCGTCTGTGTTACCTTGTGGGCAGCTTTCACAACATTCCTGCAGCTTTTCATTATCGATAAGATATTTGGTCTTCGCATGACAGACGCAGAGGAAGAGGTTGGGGCAGATTATTACGTGCACAATATATGTATCGAGGAAACAGGATCAATCACACTAACAGAAAATAATAGCAGTGAAGAAACTCAAGGGATACCGTCTGTTCAAGTCGATGATAGATGTGGAAGCACGCAGGAAAATTCTGCACCGAAATACCCTCAAGTTGACATGAAAAATCTCCGAGAAATTAATTCAAGACATTTACATTTGTCAGGAAAACGCAAAATTATCAATGGGAATGGCATTGTTAATAGCAATGAAATTTCGCTGAGAGTCGGCCCATATTTGGAACAGCAGATGGTGTTACCCAAAGGAACAAGTAATTGTGGTTACCATAGTGCCTAGACTGCCACTATAAGGACCACATACTCATTTATTTATTAATTCCAGGGGTTTATACCGAAGAGAAATTTACAATTGTGTTATGATTGTAATGATTTAATTTAAACACTGTTTAACTTATCAAATAAGAATAAAACCCCTGACAAAACTTTCTGTGGGGAAGAGGTTTAGTATGAGAGGAACGTCCTAGGAATATGCCCCTCCACCTTCTTTTGGGAATTTCACCCTTTCTTGTTCTTACGAATATAAGTTGTTATGTGGTGTTCCCAATTAGTCACTCGAAGTAGAATATTTCACTGCTTTTTCACACGAACAGTTCTTTTCTGGCATAAGAATTGACGAAGCTATAGAATAGGTCATGTACGTCTTGAGTGAGGAATATAGCTATCCCAGAGGGCGATTTTCCTGAGAGCGGCGGATTTTCTGTGACACTGGCAAACCAATAACATATCGACCTCTTTTTGGGTAGTACTTTGGACAGTATATGATCTCATAATGATTATGTTCACCTTCAATGGGCCTGTAGGTGAAATACGATTGAGGCTGGAGTTTAGATGAGGTAACAAACCGTCCCAGGGGGGTTGGGGGCATGCTCCAAAGAAAGTTTTGAAATTTGCATGCCTGGAAAGTGCATTTCCAGCTATTTTCCAAAACAATTTTGTTTAAAGTAACCATGGATATGTATATTGCCTAATTATAGACAGATATATTTCTGTGAGCACATGCCTAACTGTAAAATTAGAGAATACTCTTGCGAATGATTATCGTATTGTAAAAGAACAATTACACAAATACTCAACAGGCTAGCCGAGCGTCACTCTGCTCTGAAAATCACGCATGCAGCCACGCGTAAAACTCGGGCATTCATTATTCATATTTCTGTGAGCACATGCCTAACTGTAAAATTAGAGAATACTCTTGCCAATGATTATCGTATTGTAAAAGAACAATTACACAAATACCCAACAGTCTAGCCGAGAGTCACTCTGCTCTGAAAATCACGCATGAAGCCACGTGTAAAACTCCGGCATTCAAAACTAAAATGTTTCACCTTTCAAATGTGATAATGTTGGTTAAGCCAATGGCAGAGTCACCTAAAAAAGGAGAAAACATAGGGAGTAACGTTGGGAGCACTTCAACATCTAATTCTCTTTTTAAGAACAATTCTCAAACTCATTAATAATTCATGAACCAAAAACAAACGAAATTAATGTTTAATAATATTTTGAAACTGGAAAAAACTGTCTTCAAAGCAAGTGGGGGATTTGAAATCCCCCAGGGGACAGCGGGGCTGACTATAAGTATTCATTTTCAAACTACTAGTTGTTACTAGTGGTTTGAAATTTTTCAAGGTACTAGTACACTGGAAATAATTTAAGCTACAGATTGTTCTGCCATTACCAAATTACAAAGCAAAATTAAACACACATTGGCACACATATAATAAGCCTTAATTAATAACACGAATACCTCGCTTGTTCTGCAATCACACCTAACGATTATAGTAATTTATACATACACCACAGTTGGATATATTGACACGCTGAAACGTTTCCTTTTTAGGACTCGTAACCGGTTTTTCGGCTCTACTCGTGACAGTTCAATATTTAACGACTCACGACTCGCTAGGTAATCTTCCATAAACTCATAAAACTCAAAAATATCGTTTTCCGTCTTCCTCACCTCGCTGTGATTGTCAGCCAATACTTCGCTTTCATTAGTTAAACAAAGTTCGTCTTTACTTTGAAACCGTTCTATCGTTCTCTGCCATGTCTTACACTCTCGCTTACAACAATGCGTACACGCTTGTCGCATGGCGTACCATTCGTAGCCCGCGTGCAGGCCCAAGGGAATAATAGCTTAAAATTCGAAAATTGATCCCTTTTTTCGATTATAAATGGAACAAGAACGGACTGTTTATTGTTTACTTGAAGGAAGAGATGTTTTTGCCGTTATTGCCAATGGGAATTGCTTGTCGTGAAGTGTTGGAATAGCAACATTACGACTTGGGGTAAACTACAGTATAGTAACCTTTACTTGAGGTTCATTAATTTCAAACAGACTTGAAACATTATATGTTCCTCAAGAAAATTATCTTTTGGTTGATGTTGACTCTGTTCTTGCCGACTGAAGAAAACAGCGCTTTTCGCGGTGAAGATTTAGAGGCAGTTTCATGTAAGCCTATTCGAAACACTTTGCGATTTGCAAGGCTTCGCTGAGAGAGCGAAACAGAAGACGGTAATTGCCGTTTGAAACGAAGCGATCTGGACTCTGAACGCTCTCTTCTTTGGTAGAGTTCTTTACCAAATGAAATAACTGAAATAAATTTCGTCCTTGCCGCCAACAAGAATTGCACACACGATCTGATAAGTGACACAATTTATTTATAACAATGGCGACAGCGAAGCATACATTATAAATGCTAATGTGGTCGTACGACTTCCCTCACGATTTGAAGTTTGAGACTGGTTTTCTGTTGCATTTCGTCCTAATTTGCCTGTTCTGATTTTAGTTGAAAATGAGCACTTGCAACTTTGGCAATTACTGACTGCGTTGCTCGCTTTTTTTGGAGTTAAAACGCAGCCATTTACACATTGTTTATGTTCTGAATAAGCAGAGAAAAGCCCGCAACATTTTAATTCGAGTTTGTTTGTTAATATTTGGGTGCTGTCATTGGTTCTTTTTTGACAATTGACGCGCGAATGGGGCGTGTTATGAAAAGGGGCATTTTACAAAATACCGGGTCTTCCTTGCAGGCCCACTATTCTTCCCTTGGGCCTGCACGCGGGCTATATTCTTCCCTTGGGCCTGCACGCGGGCTATACCATTCGCAGCATATAATTTTTAAGTAAACATATTCATGCGTGAAAAATTGCATAATTGATGAGTTTGAGAAGTCAGTTCAAATAATACTCGACCTCGGACTTTACCGGGATTTTGATGTCCTCGAGCATTATAAATGCTCGGCTGGGACTTTGAAATCCCAGTAAAGTCCTATGTCTCGCATTTGAACTATTACATCTAACATGCAACACCAATAACGATCAGGATTCCCCAACAAACGCAATTTATTACAGATTATCTTACCAATTGTCGGAAACGGGGAGGGAACACGTCTCACTCTTTCCCTCCCAGTATTTACACCCTTGATAAGTAACGATCCCTTACGTATAGGATTTTTAATATTGTAAAAATAATGTAAATAATTTTAGACCGTCGGTATCCATATAAAACTCCTAAAAGTCCAACTAATGTTCTGACATAAAAATCCAATTTGTAAAAATCCTTCAAACACATCAGAAGGTTGCTACCTACACTTTTTAAAAAATGGACGATTTCTGATTTGGACATGAATTTCTGGACAATATGTATTTGTTGAAAACCAAAGACTATCTGACTTGAATAAAACAATAACTAAGGAATTCGGAGTTTTTAAAAAATTCCTCCTAAGCCGTTGCTATGGTAACAATGACGTTTCAATATGGCGGATATTTTTTTGTTTAAAGTAATTTAACTCGAAAATAATGTCGGTGACCCCCATGATTTAATTTTACAGCACGATTTATTTTGGTATTTTGAATCATTTTCGTGATTTTAAGAAAATGCTGTCATTCCAAACTTTTTCAAGATCGGAAAATGTAATAATTTGCAACACTTTTTTTTCGCATGACAGAATTTTTTAAAACTATTATAACAATGATTTAAAATATCAAACAAATTATTTTTGTGAGCCGATCTTACTTTCAAGTGAAATAACTTTAAACCCAAAATATCGGTCGTATGGGAGCGTCATTGTTGCCACAGCAACGGTAGGTTCGATTCCATTTTTTCGAAAAAATCCAACTCTGTAGTAACTGTTTTTCTAATCGGACTTTTAACAGTCTTTTAGCATATAGGAATTGTTGAAATATTGGGTCTAAATCGGACAACTTCCATTTATTCTAGTAAACTGTGGGAAGCCACCTCAAGATATATCAGTATTTAAATTAAATAATAGTAAATATTTATAGCGCATATTGTTTTTAATTAATTAGAAGTTTGTAGTTTTCAATAAAAGTTAAAAATGTGGTGAAACGACGAAATTTACGTTTTCAAGGAAAAACACATAGTATAATTTGTGCGAAATAACATACTATGGGGCGAACCATTAGAATAGTTATGGGGTTGGGGTGGTCTGCCACTAAAGCCGGGTTACAGACGAGAAAGTTTGCTATGACAAGTTTTCATATGATAACTCTCATTTGCTCCTCTGCATGCATAGGCAACTTTGCCAGAGGTGTCACATTACATATACACAGTGACGGCGCCAGGCCTCAGAATTTGGGGGGGGGGGCATTTGAGGGGCAAACTCATATTTTTTTGGGGGGGGGCAAGATATAATTTTTAAAAAGGTACTGCTATTTGCCCATGCCGTTGTCACAGGACTTTTATCCCCCCAGGAGATTCGCCCCCCTCTTAAAAGGGGGCGATATTCCTAGGAATACCGCCCCCGGGGGACGAATATCCTAGGAATATCGCCACCCCCCAGAGGGGCGAATGCCCCAGGAATATCGCCCCCCCCCCCTTTAGGAAATTCGCTCCCCATATATGCGATGTGTTTATTCAAATAATTTCGTGATACTTTCATCTTATTAGTGCCTTAAGGTGGATTTCCAGTCCTCGCACGAAGCTCCTCGCAGCTCGCTACGTGTGCATGCATGCTGAGCACTTTCATCCAATCACAATGCCAAACAGTTAATTTTAATTAGATGCTAGCACTCGCAGCGAGCTGCGAGGAGTTTCGTGCGAGGACTGAAAAACCGCCTTAAGGCCCATACAGGCCGGACGCTATTTGACAACGCGACGCGAATTTTCAGTTTTCAATGACATTTAACTTTAATATTTTTCATTGTTTTTCAAATATTCGGGACCACTTAGCAATTATAGCTATTTGGTCTCCATACCTTGTAAAAGTTTTATCCGTTGACGGTTTTATTTGTTTTTGAAAACTGAAAATTCGCGTCGCGTTGCCGAATCGCGTGCGGTCTGTGTAGGCCTTTACACGTTTGAGAATTTAACTTTGCAAAACTAAAGCTTTTTTGTCTTTTTTGAAACGTATTATTGGAGTATTGGCAAGTTTTCCCATTCAGAGATTTACAAACTAATATTGAAACTGTAAAGGACAGTCATGTATACGCGTATTCACTGATGAGTAATGACAACTTATAAGTACGGTGGCCCACAGGGGCCATGTGCACTTTCTTTTAATGTTGCTTCTCCTCCTTAAAAATGCCGTAAAACTATAATAATAGCTTGGCAAAATAATTGCTTTGTTGCTGAAAGTCAAGTTTATACCTGCGGAATATTAAGTTTATACTTGCGGAATATTAAGTTTATATACCTGCGGAATGTTAAGTTCATAGCTACCTGCGGAATATTAAGTTTATACCTGCGGAATATTAAGTTTATACCTGCGGAATATTAAGTTTATACCTGCGGAATATTAAGTTTATACCTGCGGAATGTTAAGTTTATAGCTACCTGCGGAATATTAAGTTTATACCTGCGGAATATTAAGTTTATACCTGCGGAATATTAAGTTTATACCTGCGGAATATTAAGTTCATACCTGCGGAATGTTAAGTTTATACCTGCGGAATATTAAGTTTATACCTGCGGAATGTTAAGTTTATAGCTACCTGCGGAATATTAAGTTTATACCTGCGGAATATTAAGTTTATACCTGCGGAATATTAAGTTTATACCTGCGGAATATTAAGTTTACACCTGCGGACTATTAAGTTTATATCTGCGGAATATTAAGTTTATATACCTACGGAATGTTAAGTTCATACCTGCGGAATGTAAAGTGTACACCTGCGGAATAGTAAGTTTATACCTGCGGAATGTTAAGTTTATAGCTACCTGCGGAATAGTAAGTTTATACCTGCGGAATGTTAAGTTTATACCTGCGGAATATTGAGTTTATACCTGCGGAATATTAAGTTTATACCTGCGGAATGTTAAGTTCATACCTGCGGAATGTTAAGTTTATACCTGCGGAATGTTAAGTGTACACCTGCGGAATATTAAGTTTATGCCTGCGGAATGTTAAGTTTATATCTGCGGAATATTAAGTTTATACCTGCGGAATATTAAGTT